TTCACGGTATCATGGGATGCTGGAGAACTGAGAGTCAACTTGAATCAGGAGGGGATCTGGGGCAGAAGTTCCATAAACCAGTTTGACCTAAATCATAGTTTCATAGTTGGTAGGGTCAGAAGGGACCTGAGCAGATCATCAAGTCTGACCCCCTGCCATGGCAGAAAAGAGTACTGGGGTCAAACGACCCTGGCAAGGTGTTCATCCAGCCTCCTTTTAAAAAACCCCAGGGTAGGAGCCAGCACCACTTCTCTTGGTGTAATAGAAAAATGAAGAGCCGCTTTCCCTGTGTACAGGTCCCATAGTCTATTTTTCTGTTCTGCTCAGCCCTGTTGCATTCATTCGTGGTGGTACAGATGGGTAGCATGGCATGTTGTTGCCCAGGTCGTCATTCTCTCAAAACCCCTCCACCCCAGGCTGTCTGTGAAGAGAGTGGTTTTGGAGGTCCTTGCTAAGTAAAAGGTACACTTTGGAAGTGACTGGCTTTCCAAGCTGCTTCTATCTCTATTACACAGCAGTAAGCATAAGCGGCAGTAGAAAATATCATTTGGGGGGAGGGGGTGGGACTGGGCAGTGTGGAGCCTGCCCACTTGACCCTGCCGTCCCTCCCACAGGGCCATTCCAGGGCTAGTGTGCGCTGGTGCTGTGCACGTGGTGGCAGAAAAGTGCATGTCAGCAGCACTGTGCACAGTGCTGTGGTGGTGCTGGACCTGCTGTTGCTGGCCCAGTCCGGTGGGGCTAAGCCTATGGCAGTAAGTGAGGAATTCTTTCCCTGCAGCCAACTGCATTTCAGCCTGGGGTAGAGGTGTGGAGAGATGGGGCATGCTCCTTTCATTGTGCAGTTCCTATAGGACAACATAGACTTTTGTGAATACACTCAGCGAGGGTCTGGATGTCTAGAGAGAACAACTTAATGATGATACCTTGAACTGAACAAGCACATTGGACTTCTAGAATTGCAGTCTATATACCCACTCTTCTGACATGGGCTCTGCATATATGTACCTATTGCCCGAACCTGTGTACATTGAAATCATGGGCCAAACTACTATAGGCTTCTGTGAGACATGATCCCATAACAACTAGAGTGATTCACATGGCAGCTTATACCATTGATTGCTGTATGTTTCTTATGAAACTGGGTACAACTAGATCCAGGCAGGGACCCTCCTGCTCCTGTTATCTTGAGTGGACTCCATACAAGAACCTGAGTCTACCTGTGTGAATCAGACTTTGGACTGTGGTTTTAGTTGCTTTTGTCAGACAAAGAAGGTGAATGTATAGGCATCTGCATTTTGAAAGTAGTCTTTATGACATTTTAAAGACCAGACTTTACCTGCAGCTGAGGCACCATCATTTGCATTGTGCCTGAGAATTTATTGTAGAAGTTTTCCATATCACACCTAACTCCCTGCTGGCCTATGTAGAGGCTGCTTTGTTAGAGATCTGACAGGTTCTACGGTGCCCATCATTATTGCGATTTGCATGGATTTGCCTGGATTTAGAACTATCCAGATATAGATATTCTGTGCTCCTAGTTGGCATACTCTGGGTAAGTAAAGTCATGCCAGGGTTGGGAGCCTGCACTCCTTTGAGAGTATTTCTGCATTTGAGCCAGTACTCCATGCTGTGCAGTCAGCATGCTGTCCAGCTTCTGCCTGGTGTTGAACTGCTGCCAATATTAATGGGTCCTTTGTGCTGCTTTTTCTGCAGGGCAGCCACTGACCACAACACTGATAACACAACAGCAATCCTGAAAGAGTGGCTGAAGAATGTGCAAAAACTCTACCATTATGTGGAGTGGAGGCCTATGGAAGAGCCTGAGTGAGTGTCTTAACAAGTGATTTAATGAGATCATTGTTGGGGGTTAAATGTCAATATTATTGTAACCCTGGCACACGGCAGTACCCACATGCC